CCAAAACCCCAAAACCCCAAAACCCCATCCTTCTATATTTAGGTGGGAATTGAAGTACTAATTAGGCATGTGTAGTCTTTTAATTAAAAATCCACAAAATAAGTCAAATAATCACTTTTAATTGATTTATCATAAATCATCGTCTAGTCTCTCAGCATAGTGATTCCTTTAAGATTAATTGGTCTCTTGAAGTTCTACGAATTCCATTCTGGCTGCTGTTTCTAATCTCTTACGCTCATCTTTTTCTTCAGATCTCCATGTCATTTTTTGAGAAAGATAAAGCACAAATGAAAGGACTAACCCACAAACTAGAAATGTAATTAATTAGTGATCTTATAACTTACTTAAACCTGCAATAAATCCATTTATTAGTGAAGTCAGAGTGTATTTCTTGAGTGGATGGCCAATCTTTGATTAATCTAGCTCTGTCTTGCAGAATCTCTCATCTGAAATTCTAAAGTCAGGATTTTATAAGCCAATATGGCATTTTGATGTCTCTAGGATTTTGGTATTATAAGACTCGTGTTATCCGTACATCATAAGATCTCTGCCAATAATCCAATCTTAGTTTTCAATTTGCTCATGGTCTAGAACGTAGCATGGATGCTCTTCATATTAATCCTTTTCGTTCAAGTCATGCTTATAAGCTGAGTTGAAGTCTAAGTCAAAGGATTATTTGTAATTTATTGATAAGATTAATTCATTTTCATCCTCCATTCTTGTTGAAGTTCTGAGGAGACCAGAGAAACTCACTTTGTCATCTTTTTACTATAACTGAAACACGGCTCTGTAATGGATAGCAGAGAGAAGATTTTCACATACTGCTACTGAATTAGCTTATTTTCCTAAGGTATATAGATTTGAATCATTTCCAACCTTGGTTTCATTAGCTAAGATTCCATATGCAACTAAATCTTTTGCCTAAGTAATAGCTATAGCTCTTCCAGCAAGATCAGACATCTTTGTGATATTCTGGGGAAACTCAAACTTCTGAGAAAATTTATTGGACTCTTTATTAATGCTGAAATTCTCAATTGTGTAAAGGGACAGAATAGACTTTCCTAAACTGTTATAGTCTGGGTATTCTACTGCTAAAGAGCTCAAGTCACCATATTCCATAATTTGTATTTCTAGTTGCATGTAGAGTGGTAAATCTGAGAGTTATCCATTAACTGTAAGTTCATAAGGTCCAGTTTGAGTTAACTGATAAATTCCAGATATTTCTAAGAGAATATTAACAAGAATATTAGCTACATTATTGATCTACTGGGAATATCACTGCTGTTAAGCTTTCTTTCTAATCTTGAGATAAATTTTGATTGAACTCTTTTTGCACATGCATTTCATCTAGCTTCCTTTATTATAAATCTACATAATAATGTTAAACTAAATTAGTTTAAACTTACATTCCTCTTTGGTAGATCTAATGTATTTATTACCCTTAAGTGATTTTCCATGAGAAGATTTAATCTAATAATTCTCTTGTAGTCTGAGTTTAGATAAATGAAGTTGTGGGTTATCAGCAAAGCCTGGGGGTGATACATCTGATGGATTAATGCTTTTGCCGAAATGTTGGTCTGTAACAGCCTCAAGTACTAGATCATCAGCTTAATTAAATATAACCTTGAACTCATGCTATTTTTACTCTCTTCCTAGTAGATAGTTGCAGGTAGTTGAAGCACCAGCTTCAATCATTTCCTCTTTAACTCCATTAATGATTGTTCTTGCTTAATTCAAAGTATGGCATCCATTGACCTTCCAAATTAATTCTACTTGGTTGTTTTCCAATTCCTTGTAGCTCACAATATCAATGTATGGCTTGCTTAGATCAATGATAGCAAGAGCTAATCTGATGTTTCTATTGATATGTCCATCAAAGATAGAGTTTTAATCATGAACTGATTCCTTGCTGATTTTAAACCTTCCATCTCTATGATGAGAAACTTCTCTAGAACCTAAAGTTTTCTCATCTGGCCTTTTGGATTCATCAGTTTCAACAATATATACTGCTGTCCTTACGGATTGATAAGCTTCTTTGCTCTGAGTCACATTCTAAAGTAAGTATGAAGTGGGTCTACACTCGAAAACAGTTGCTTCATTGTTCTCATAATCAAAGCCAGCTCCATAGCCCCAGTCTTCAAGGCCTCCCTGAACTGGATATATTGTTGAGGAAATGTCACCAAATATATATTCCTTTATACTTGGTTTCTATCCTTATTAAGAGATGTAAGCACCTGTTTCGTTCTTTATGATCCAGCCAACGCCTTCGAAAGCTTGATAATCAGGGGCTTCTCTTGAAATTTGCTAAGTTCCTTAGTATTTTAATCTATTATAGGAGCCCCAAGGATAGGCAATCACATTTATTCCTCCATGAAAAGTTATAGCAGAAACAATTACATTTTCAACCATAATTTGATGAATTACTCTACCAGCTATTGTATTTAAACATTTATCTTTATCCGTATTATATGGGAAGTCTCTGTTAATATCCTCGAAATAGTATTCTTTAGTTCCTGTGTTTTTGTTTCTCTTGTATGGATTGCTTTTGTAATTTTCTGACTTTACATTTATTCTCTCCGCTCTCTCATTATAATTGTAGCCAACAGAATTTGTCATGGGGGTGATAATAATTTCCCTTCTTCGAAGGAGATTCGTGACTAAACTGTCTTCCTTGTAGGAGGATATAAGGTATTCAATGAGATAGTAAGCAGTGTTAGGACCAATAACTTCGTCTCCATGTAATGTGCCTGAAATGTAAACTTACGCTTTTTCATCACTTTAGACTTCAAAATCAGAAATTGTCACGATATCAATTTAGCACCTAATGATCAAATCAGGGTTAATATTCTATGAAATAAACTTACAATTCATTGCCGCATTCAACTTCATGAGGAATGCCATATCTTTACTCAGCAGTCTCGATTTTCATCAAATTAGGATAGAGATTTGCCAAATTATAAAGTTTTTACCGCATTTCTGCATAAGGGATGTACTTATAATCCTCAGCTTTGTATTCCAGTTCTTTTTTAAAAAGGTTTGGTACCAATAGTTATTAAGCTTTCGTAGTCTAATAGTAAAATAGACTAGTCAAGAGTAGAGTACTCTGTAAATAGAGTGACTTCATATTTTTTTTGAATTTGAATAGATTAAAATAATACATTAATATGCTACTATTAATTATAGTCATTCCTCTATTATTCTTCAATTATATTTACAAATGGGGGGTTTTGGGGTTTTGGGG